GGGGGAGCCTGTTGACATCTCTGAGGGTGGGGCTGCCGTCTAGAGAGCCCTGGGGGAATGGACCGAGAGGAACCTCCTGAAATTCAAGAAGGGCAGGTACCGAGTTCTGCAGCTGGGGCTGGAGAACCCACCACAGGAGTGCACACCAGGTGCTGCCTGGCTGGGGAGCAGCACTGTGGCCTGGAAATCTTAGTGGCCAGTGAGCTGGACAGGGCCAGCAGCTTCTCCTGGAGGACACCTGTGTCACCACACAGGATCAGAGGCAGTGACCAGCCCTCTCTAGGCAGCTAGTCAGCTGGAATACTGGTCCGGTTTGGCTTCCACCCCCTGGTACAAGAAAGATGGTGACAACCAGGAGTGAGTTCGGCAAAGGGCCGTCAAGTCGGTTGGGGAGCTGCAGCGCTCGCCATGTGAGGAGGTGCTGGGGAGGGAGATTCTCCAGCGTGGAGACAAAAGGGATTTGGGTGTGGATCTGGCAGCAGCCTCTGCTAACTGAGGAAGAGGTTGTCAGGACACTGGGGAGTGGGAGAGGATGAAGGAAAACAAGATTTGGGGAGTTCAGACTTGGATATAAGGAGAATTTTTTTCACTGTGAGGAGACTCAAGCTTTGGAGCAGGTTGTCTGTAGAAGTTGTGCCATTTTCATTCTTGAGGATCTCCAAGACCTGCCTAGAAAAAGCTCTGAGCACCCCGATTTGATGCTGCCGGTGCTGCTTTGATCGCGGGGGTTGGACTGGAGACCTCTGGAGGTCTCTTTCAGCTGAAATATTCTGTGCTTCTGGGATTCCTTCTCTCTTGTCCTAGCCAAGCAGCATGGGAGCAAGTGCTATATTCTCCTTTCTGTGCTGTCTTTGATATGGAGAAACTTGCGAGAGGAGGAGTTAACAGAGTACAGTGTTTTTCAGCACTGCATTATTGAGGTAGAGAAATGTAGATTATGTGTGTTGGAAGTGCCTTAAAGAAACAAAAGATGTCGTATCATTAAGCAGCGTGAGGAAGAGGCTGGAAGTAAAAGCGACGGCAATAGAAGGGTGCCCAAGGTTTGGCACTTGTAATGAAAAATGAAGGTAGGGCAAAGAAATGGAGTAAAAACTTTTTAAAGACAATAAACTTACAACGCTTTCAAATGTTGCAGAAGCAAAAAGCATTTCAGAAGTGTTCAGAGCCACCGGGTAACTGAAGTGTGCAAGGGGTGTGGGGCTACAGGAAAGCTGGATTCCTTGTGCTGGTGCTGAGCGTGAGTAGAAGCAGTTTCACTTAGCAGTTTACTTGAAGCAGCAAGTGCTGCAGGACGGATTTCCAAGAATTTTAAAGGGACTCAAACATTCAATTACTGTGCTATGTAAAACTTGCCACTTAAGGTCACTTAGAGACCAGGTAAATGTAGGTTGGCAAATACAGGATGCTTTTAATGAGGGTTCTAAGGTGAGAAGCAGAGGATGGGATTGTTAGGGGTGAGTTGTGGCTTTTGCACTGCCTGTAATAGTTAAAATTATGTCCAGAGTTGGAACGAGGAGGGCAGGGTCAATGAAGATAGCTGTGGTGGAGGTTGATGGAAGAGCTGTTTGAAGGAGTCCTGGGACTGCCAAAAACCTTTCAGAAAATTCCCTTACTGAAACTTTTTGCAGAAGCGAAACTGCTGCAGACAGCTCTTGAATTAATAACTGAATAAAAGCTTGAAGACAAGATAGCAGTGACTGGTTCTGTTTCACTCTGCTGGGAGGTAAGCGGGAGTCCCACGGGAAGGTGGACTGCCCAGCACATCCGTAAATTCTGTGTAAAAGAGTGAATAGTGTTGTGGCAGAGTTGCTCATAGTGCTGCTCACTCTGACTAGAGCGAGAATTGGTGGCAAAAATTGTGGAGTGATTTCACAAGAGTGAGTTGAGTGTGCAAATGTGAGGTGTAGGACAGTGCTGGCCGGCAGAGTAACGCTGGGGGAGGAGGAGACAGGGCAGATGATACTTTAAAAAGTAACGGGCTGTCCTAACTGTTGTTGCTGGGAGAAGAAATCCCATTGTCCGTGTGGAGAGTTCCCTGAAAATAACCATTCACTGCTCTGCCGTGCTCCGAAAGCCAAATGGACCGTTAAGGAGGGAACAGAGAACAAAGCGCGACATAAATTCCTCACGCTTCTGCAGTCCGGGTGCTGCGTGCCTTGCTGGCTTGCTGCTCGCGGGAGGGATAAAGCAGGGCAGTAAAAATGCGGGAGAGAGACATTCGCCGAGGTGTGGAAAAGGTTTTGATTTTGGGAGGAGTGAACACATGGACTTTTCTGCCTGGGACAGAGTTAGCAGAAATGATGGCTCTGAAAACATAAGCGACAGAGAGGGCTTGCAGGCTGGGTTGTGTGAAGGCAGCGGTTGGCTCTCCCTGGGTGTCCTATCCTGTGTGCAGACTTTGGCTCGATGGCAACGGTTCAGGGTTTTTGTGAGGATGCAGTCAAGCTCCCCGAAGCAGGCTGAGTGTGGATCTGGCTGGCACTTGGACAAGGTGATGGGCAGAAATGTCCAGTCAGGGGGGACCCACTGGGACAGGCTGAACTGGCCGAGAGCGATCTCCTGTCTGACTTGAGACAGCTGCTCTGGGGGAATACGGAGTGTCAGCCCTGGAGTAAGGACATGGTGGCAGTTTCTTCCTGCCCTTTAGCAACTTCCAAACAGTTCCCCAGCAACTCAGCCTCATCCCTGCTTCTGCATCTTCTGTCGGCTGGGCAGGTGTGGGATGAGGCACTGCCCGACAGCTCGGGGACGGGAGGCACATGGCTGTTGGCCTCTGGAAAGATGAAAGTTCACCTGGTGGACTGGCTCTGAGCTTCACTGGAATGTGCATTGAAGCGATGGCTGAGGCTGTGCAGAGGGAAGGCAGGGGAAACGAGAGCTCGGGGTTGTGGAACAGTGCTGCGGTGCCCGCACCTGACTCCTCTCGACTCTGCCATCGACATATTCCCAGTGAGGCAAGAACGGCGTCTCCATTCCCCTTTTCCTGGTCCATCCAGGTGACATCCTGCACCACCTCTGGCAGCATACGTGTGCACGTTAAGGCTGATGTCTTGCAGCCTGAGAAGGATTCTGTGGTGGTTAAAGATGATCTCTTCCTCCAGGTCTCACTCCATCGAAGAGCACAAGTGGAGGCCGAGTTGTCTCCAGGAGTGTCAGAGCGGGGCTGGTGTTGCCCCGGAGGAGGGGCATCGTACCTCACCCTGTGAAGAGCAGCAGTGTCTGTCACGCATTCCTCTAGATCCTGCTGATTAAGTTTTAATGCCAGCTTCCTGTACGCTTGAAAAATACTGCTGTCTGCTCGCCTGGTTCGATAACAGCTGGGATGCTTTATGGTGAGGTTGTTAAGTCTCTGAGCTATGGGCTCCTCTGCTCTGGAAGCTTGGTGGCGATAGACGAATGGCTCCAGGGTGGAGAATTGCCTTTCTTTTGCCGGCATGATGTGTTAGTTTGCCCTCTGTAGGTAGAAAAGGCATTTATAATGCTGTCTTCATCTTGTGACATCGTGTGTATGAGAAGGCGTCTTCAGGTCGGTTCTTTGCGAGGTTGGTTGTTGCCAGAGGCCGAGATGAGCAGGTGGCTGTGAAGATGCTGCTGACCTTGGCAAAGCGACTTGTCTCGCTCTGGGTGCGCTGACCCTCTTTAAAGTTTCTTGCCTGTCCTGTTTGAGGTTAGCCCTGTGCAGGAGAATAGCCAGTGCCAATTTGAACATATCTCAGATTTAAATATTGGCTTTACGGGCCTTGTAAATGTTATTTCAGTACCTTCTTTTCCAAAGTAGGTGGCTCAGCACGTTTAGTTTGAGGTGTTAAAACTGTTGGTTATCTGACAGTATTTGCATGATATGCTTTGCTGCCTGCTTCTATCAGGAGAAAGCTGAGTGTAGGATATATAGGATATATAAGATGTATATATATAGAATATAGGGATAGGATAGCATGAAACTTCATAGCATCACTTGTGTTTCACCAGCTCGGCACGGTTTTACTCCTGCCCAACATAACTGTCTTAATGCATATAGCTTCAAGAGTAATTGCTGTGTTGTGCTGGGTACCTCCTTTTGATTTTACGCCATAAAAGACAAGTATTGTATGGAAGGCGGGATTCTGGAGGCTTTACCAACATGACCAGAATGCGTGGCTGTGTGGGGGCCTCTTGGCTGTAACTCGAATGATGGCTGATGGGCAGAAAGGGGTGGCAATCCTGGGAGTGGATAAATGCAGCTGCATTTTTAACAGCAGTTAAAACGTTAACGTTGAACTGAATTTGTAACAAATTGAAACAAGAAATGGCCACCTTGGGACACACATACCTGACTGTCGGGAAGAGAGGTTGTTCACAGCGGCAAATGCCATTCCCTGCCCAGTGAAGGGCTCCAGACATGGTGAGTGGGGAAGGGATTTCAAGTGAGAAACCTAAAGCCATGGTGAGTGCTGGAGAAGACTGGACTTAGTCTTTGTCCTCTGCTGAGAAATGAGGAAAATATGGTTACGGTTTCCAGAGGTGTGCTGGCAAAAGAGTGCTTCTGAGCTAGTCACTGAGTATCTTGATGGGTGTTGACAAAATCCCTCCAAGCAGCACGTTCATAGCGTGTCAAAGCTCTGGCTGAGCATTAGGAACTTGCTCGGTTTTCCTTCCTAGGCCGTGTGCAGGTGCCCTCCACACTCTGCACCCAGCTGACAGCTGACCCGGCTTTGAGTGGGAGGTTGGAGAAGACCAGGTGACCTCTTGAGGGCCCTTGCAACCCGAATTACTTTGTGATGATGTGGTTGAAAACCAGTCCCGTTGAAAAGGCCGTCTGCATCATGGTGTGCAAGGGTGGGCAGACGCTGGGTAAAGGGAACTCCATTTCTGGCACAGCTGAGGGGCTGACATTGGGTCTCTGCAAAGCGCACGTTGTTTTCATTTGGCCTGTGGGTGTCCCCGGGGCAGTGGGTTCACCTGGGTTGGCTGCAGCAGCCACCTCGGCCTCATCCTCGGCCCCTGCCTGTCCCTGCCCCCAGCAGAGACAACTACATGCTCTGTACGGACGTCCTGAGCTCGACGCTGTCGGTGCTGGTCCACTTCAGCAAGGCGGGAGGTGAGGTGCAGGGATTCAGTAGGAAGTCCTGCTCGTTCATTCCTCCCTGCTTGCTCAGTACTGTGTTCTTGATTTGGTCCAGCTTAATTTCTCCAAAAAACTGGGGGTGAAGAGGTAACATAAACTGGTTATGGAGGTGGAACTTGATTGAGAAGGAGGAACGCTGGATTTGATTAGGATTGAGGTTAATGGAGAGGAAAAGCAGAGCTGGGAGGGAGGGTTTGCCAAGTGTTCCCCGTGCCAGGCCCTTTGTTAAAAGTTTCTGATTTTTTGGTTTTACAGACTTTATCTTGGGAAGAAGACTTGATGTTTCTGATACCTGAATTCTACAAAATACAACTGGAGGAAGCTCTTATCAGGGTTGCATTTCAAGTGCAGTTCCTTATGATAAAGATACAAAGTTCCTAGCCAGCTGGGAAGAAAACTGTAACAGCCCAGTTCTTGGAGAAAAGGGGAGCCAGTGAGCTATACAGTGATCAGGGTGATTCCAGCAAAGATTCTTGGACCAACTCATTAAAAAGCTTGCCATGATCTACAACATAAAAGGATAACGAGATGCTACAGAGCTAATACAGTTTTATATTATCTGTTCTCAATAAATCCACCTGATTTTTGTTTGATGGGAGAGCTGGCTTATTGCTTAAACAAGCAGGCACTGGGTGTGAGGGACCCGAGTTCCGTAGGATCCCTGGTATTTGCCACAGTGACTGTGTATCGGTTAACATGCAGTGTTGTAATATTTTTAAAGTGCGTGATTGGCTGAAAACCTGCGCGTAGAGTAGTTATCAGTGGCTGCAGCGGTGAGGGCACTTCATTTACCAATAGTAAAGGAATAGTCACAGTGGTGAGCTGGGGATGTGTGAAGCTGTGGCGTTCATTCTGGGTTCTTCATTTGTTTGCACCCTTTAAGAATGTGGCTGAAAAGCAACGTCGTGCTGCAGCCTGGAATATCGCAGACAGCTACAAGAGTAATTAGTGCTACAGTGAAGAGGAGCAGTATGTTAAGTACATCTCGGAATGAGGCTCCTGCTTTTGCAGCTGGGATAAGAGTTTTTTTTTTTTTCTCTCTTTTTTAAAATGCATAATCTCTCAAGAAAGGTGGAAGGAACCGGCCACGTTCAATGTAAGCCTGGGAAACTGGGAGGCAATTATATTCCAGTGCAGAAAAGCTTCTTACAAGTGAGATGGATATTAGGAGAAGCTCAAAAAACCACCTTTGTGAAGCGCTCAAATATGCTGCTAAGGGAAGTTGCAGAACTCTCTTGGGAAGAGTTTCCAGTGTGTTTTTGTCAGGGGTGCTGTCAGCGAGCTTAACCTGTCGACGGAGATTGGGCTGTGCTGGTGGGACCTCAGGGCCTACCTTCTGCTCCACGCTTGCTAGAGCTAACACCTCACAGATGGGTTTCTTAAGCAGGGTAGTGACATTACATGAAGTGTTTTAGTACAGTTATCAGCTACCCGGAACTTAGAGTTGCAATTCTAAGCCAATTTTTCCATGCACATGGCTTTACCGTACCAGAACAGCTGCTCTGCCTGGATTTTATTTCCTGTGCTCAGTCGCCAACAAAATTGGTACAAGTGTTCGAATTTTCTCTTTATTACGGACCTTGCTTGGCAGTTAAGAGAAGCTCTTGCTTTTTCTGGACCAGTTTCTTGCTGGAGAAGGTCCCACAGCCCAAGTGACTGGATGGGCAGTTCCTGGTGCTGGGGATGGTGCTCGGTGCGTTCTGAGCTGTGTTGGGCTGTGTTTTGGGACAGTTGAAGTGATGTTTCCAAATCGCTCCCTGGATGAGCCCGAGTTGTCCAAAAAGGAACGGCTGCCTGGTTTCGCTCCATCCTGGCTCTTATCTGTGCGTCCCTCGTGTAGGAGTTTGAATAATGGTGTTCCATTGTAGAGAAGATTTTATTTTTGTTTTAAAAGCTGTAAATCATGTTCTTATTATGAACTTGCATTGCAAAATTTTTTGCCCACAAGAGGAAGAAATAAGATGCTGAGAAAATAAACCAGGTTTGTGCAGAGAGCACAAGGGGAGAATTAATGCTCGTGATTTATTGGAGTAGCTGCACTTTGGAATTGTCTTCTTCCCACATATGAGTAATTCAATTGACGTGATGTCTTTCTCCAGAAATCTTGCTGAGTTTTGCTGTTTGGGAATAGAAGTTATGATACTAATGTGTTTTTTTTTTATTATTTCTTTTTTTTCTGTCTTGCAGAGTTTGGCGTTCATTTAGCGGAACTGACTGTAGATCCGCAGGGAGCTCTGGCCATCCGTCAGGTGAGTTTACCTGGAACCGTAGAAAGAATTTTGGTGGCCATTTCCTTGGGTTTTAAAATATTTTCTCGTGTTTCCAGGTGAAAAAGTGGAGATAGCTTTTTATTACTGCTTCTCTGTTTTCTTTTATGATTCTCTAGAGTTGTCGCTTCCTCTTTTAACTTTATTGGGGTATTATACACTTACTTTTTGGACTCAATGCGCCTGGTGCTGAGACAGTATCCTGCTGGGAATGAACACAATTTCTTAGGTGGATGATGGGCGTCAGCAAGCAGAAGCGTGGGGGTTTTTTGCAGCAGCTTTTTCTGTAGATGTTTTTCTCCTTGAAAAGGAAGTTTTGGTTCTGTATTTCTTTAGTTGCTCCGTGATCTGTACCTTGTGCCCTTTTAGAGGCGGGGAAATTGAGCCACCGCCTTGTGTCAGTGCTGTACAGGCCGTCGTTGCTCAGTGGATGGCCACCAGGTCATCTTTTTGTAGTGGTAGCTTTTTCTTTTTTGTCCGTTTCACAGAGGTTTTGGGCGGGTTTGGCAAGCCCTGTTGCCCCTCTGAAAGCAGCCTAGTGGGGCCGGAGGCCGAGCAGATGGGTCAGGGGTGACACTTGCCGTGATTGCGAGATTTGTTACTGATTCTTGACCTCTCTTCCAATCCAGCTAGCGTCTGTAATTTTGAAACAGTATGTGGAAACTCACTGGTGTTCTCAGTCAGAAAAGTTTAGACCTCCAGAGACCACTGAAAGGGTAAGATCTGGTTTTGTGTTGTCTGCTCTGAGACATTTTATCTGTCAAGAGTATTCTTTCTGTAGGTGGTTTTAAAACAGCGCTGGTGCCCTTGTCTATTATGGGGATTAATGGTTTCAATGAAGGTTTTCTGACATCTTCCAATTCAAAAATCTATTTTCAGTTGCTTAACAGGAGACTTGAGAAGCTTGGGCTAGTTTCTGTAGGAAGAGTTTAGCCGTAAGGTTTCTGCTGCTCTAAGAGCAAGACTGAAAGAAAGCCGCTTTCTAAGTTTTACAAATACTGATTCTGGCAGTCCTTTTTCAGAGATTTGCTAAATCTTGTGTTTTTCAGCTTGGAACTTAAAGGCTGTTTTCTCATGAGAAATTTTAGCTTAAAGACCTGCTGGGTTTCTTTAAAAATGTGTTGAGTAGGAGCAGCTAACAGCTAATCCAGCCACAGATTCTAGCCCTTTGCCACTTCGACTATTGACTGGACCATCCTTCAGATCCAGGGCAGGTTTCATCCCAACCAGAGATCACGGCTTGAAATAAATCTTGTGAATTATGCCCCGGAAGCCCTGGCTTTTTTAACCTGTCCTGTCAGGCTTGGGTGGCGAGTTCTCATTTACTGCAATCTTCCAAAGTAAGCAAACGTAGCTGCCGACAGTGGAGCTGGGATTTATGTGGGCTAACGCTGGATGTCTTCCGTGTAGATATCTACATCCTATCTGATTGCAGCTGTGAGCTGTTTACTGTGGGCTTGGCCAAGGGCTCTGTGTGAGAAGCACGATTTTAAAACACGCTGTAAAAAAAAATTAGGGTGTTTAGTGTGCAAGGGCTTTTTGTCTCGGGAGTCTCATTTTGTAAAACCTGTCGTATCAATATCGGTAAGTATATTTTTTTTTAATTAAATTGTTTTAGTCTGGGAATGTGTTTTGCTAAATATTATTTATTGCTTACTCTCTACAGGCAAAAGTTGCCATTAGGGAGCTCCTACCCAACGGGCTGAGAGAATCAATCAGCAAAGTGCGCTCGAGTGTCGCTTACGCGGTGTCAGCCATCGCCCACTGGGACTGGCCTGAAGCCTGGCCCGAGCTCTTCAACCTCCTCATGGAGATGCTGGTCAGCGGCGACGTGAACGCGGTGCACGGAGCCATGAGAGTGCTGACAGGTGGGTGGATGCGAGAACTTTGCCGAGGCTGGTCTCAGAGGTGGTTTAGGCTTTTTCTTACCTATCCCTTTTCATCCCAAACTGAAGAAATTGGAACTTGCTGCTTCTCTTGGGTGTGCGGCCTGTTGACTGGTGTTGAATTGCACACTCGGTACGTGTCATGAGAGCTGAGGAAGAAGGTTCTGTGCTACAGGTTATAGATCAGAAGGAACTTTGATTCTAACACACTTTTTCCCAGATACTCGCAATTTTTTGCATGATACTTTTCTGCTTGCCTCCAAGGATTGCCATGGGCAGGCCAGATGAAACTGGTCTAGTCAAGCACAAATCAACGTTTCATTAATATGGTTTCCCAAAGGCTCTATTATTGCTATTGCCTACAAATTGATTTTCTTACGCGAACTTCCCTTCTTTTCCCATTTTCTAGAATTTACACGAGAAGTGACGGACACACAGATGCCACTTGTTGCTCCTGTCATTCTTCCGGAGATGTACAAAATTTTCACAATGGCAGAGGTATGATCCTCACTACAAAGCTGGCACTGAGCGGTGTTGGTGGGAGTGTTTGTTGGAGCGGAGAAACTCCAGATTTGATGGTTAAGCTCTACTGTCTTACGAGTTAGACTTAAAGAATTTTCTTGATGGTGTCATAGTTGATGGCAGCTACTGTTTCAACAGAAATGTTGAAGCCAATGCTAAGAGAGTCAAGTTAAAGCAAAAAATAAATACAATTAAAAGAAAATTAAAGGACACCAGTGTTCTATTATCCTGATGTATTTATTTAACATTTTTTCTAGGTGTATGGTATTCGCACAAGGTCGCGTGCAGTGGAGATATTTACCACGTGTGCCCACATGATCTGTAACATGGAGGAATTGGAAAAGGCAAGATTTTAACTTACTGTACAACAGACATTGAGCTCAAAATGAGCGAGGCTCTAAATAATTGTTATTATGAAAATACAGCGTTGGAGAACCATGTACTCTGCCAGCTGTAATTCTGGGGAAGAGGGTGTAATTTAACACACGTAAAGTGACAAACTCGCTCCTTCACATGCATGCCTGGGTATTGCGACTTGCTGCCCATAATTAAGTTTAACTTGGGCCGTATCTGCAGAGGTGCTTGTAAGAGCTCGGAGGAGGGGAGTCAGCAGGGGTGGGAGGTGGTGGATCATCCCTCGGTGGGAAATCCCTGTCCCAGCTCCCAGCCTGCAGGTGAGCCACGTGTCCTAGTGTCTGCACTGCCGTGGGCGGAGCAGCGCTTACGAGTTTCTGGAACCTGCACTTGCTTCAGCGTGTGCGTTAGCCTTTTGTTCCTAACGTGGTGGTGGAAAGCACACTAAACTGGGGAAGAATAGCTGTTAAGAAACAAGCGCTGTGTAGTTAAGCAGCTTCATAGACATGAGTCTGCTGTCTGGCTCTGAGCACATCTGCATTTTCTATGGCCTTTGCAAGTGGGTTTCCCCAGGCAGTAAGTTGTTCTGTTAAACTTTTTTGTGGGATGAGGATAGGAAAGGGTGACTCTCGGTCTGGTGGCTGATCACTGCACAGTGGCTCTATCTGCTGTTTACTCCCTGTTTGCGTAGGGAGCAGCTCCGTGCAGCCTTTTGGGAAGCTCTGGTAATTACACCTGTCTGTTCGGAGTTGGCGAGGTTACACTTACACAGTGTGTCACGCAGCTGATACCCGTACCCAAAAGACAGTAGTAGCTTCCCACTCTCTTATTCTGGAGGAGGCCTGAAAGTTTCCTTTGTGTTGAATACAAAACTGTTTCTGTTGAAATTCAGCTCCAAAAAAAAGAAGGCAAGCTTTTTACAAACTGCTTTTTATAAATTACAGCTTTGCTGTCTTAGCCATGGAGGAATAATCTCAGTAAAATTCTTCTAGTCTAGTATTACTTACTCTGCCAAGCCTCACTTAGGGAGTGCTCTGACACCTGCAGAAATACGTGCTGCGTTTCCCTAGGAGGGATCACCCTGCTAACCTTCACGCCAGCTGTTGGTCCTCGGCTCACAGAGAGCTTGTTTGGTTTGGGGGAGGGTGGCTCAGGAGGGAGATAAATGCCGTCTGCGGGGCTCCCCGAGATCGCTGGTGGGTGATGATGTCACCCTGGGGTTCTTTTATAACCTGGGGATCCGGGAGGTAGGATGCAGGACATGATTCATCTAATCAAATGGAAGTGCCTCGTGAGGCTCTTCAGACCAGATTGTCTGGCTCTCTGTTTTGAGTCTGAAGTGGTTAGTTCAGATGTAGTTAGTTCAGATGTTAGTTCAGATGTAGGAGTGTGTTTTGTAGCAGTCTGTGCTGTGTGGTTTTGAAGGGTGGGATTCAGCTGCACTTCGTTCCCAAAAAGCCAAATGTGTTTCGTATGACTTTGCAACATTCTGCAGTAGCCATGAGTCCCTCTTTGGTTTTGTAGCAGGAAAGTGCAATTTCCATTGCCTCTGGTGCTTTACTTGTCAGACGTGACGGTTCGGTATCTAACGCTCAGCTGTGCTTGCATTGCTTGTAACCAGGGTGCGGCCAAAGTCCTGATTTTTCCGGTGGTGCAGCAGTTCACAGAGGCCTTTGTTCAGGCCCTGCAAATGCCTGATGGACCTACATCAGACAGTGGGTTTAAGATGGAAGTCTTGAAGGTAAGTCACTTAAGACTGATTAAATAAAGGAACAGTTTGATACCGGTACACTGTCACACGTGCTGGACAACAGAGAAACTTGAGTACGTGTCACCTCTGCTGATATTGCTCGTGTTACGAGTAGTGGTGTGGCTCCCAGCTCCGTACAACGTGGAAATAAATGGTTCTGCCCATACTGAAGGTACAAGTGATGAGATCCATAGGATCTCTCCATAAAATGATCCATAGAGGCTGATCCACAGGACAATCCGTCCTTGTCAGTCGCTGACCTAAGGCATCTCGGATGCGTCTTGTTCGGATGCCACACTCGGTAGTCAAACACCTGTCTTTTGTAAAGGTGCTGCAGAATTCTGCTGCCATGAAGTTTTAAAAGCTCGTTGTGTGCAGGTGCTTTTCTAGAACTTGCCTGCCCTTTAATGCTGAGTTATCTCTGCAAAAGAGAGATGGAAAGCCTTTGTGTTCTCCTGGATTCCTGGAGAAAAGAGATTAGATTGCAGATTCTATGTGCCTGTAGCTCAGGAGTGAGGATTAGAGCAGGTGTGGAGATCCCCTCAGCAGCTGGAGTTTGAGGGTGTGCTGCCTGCAACATGGCAGAGAAAAAAAGAGCTCAAAACCAGAATTTACAGAATCAAATCCAGATCTTTCGTTTCCCTGCACGTGCGCTGAGGTAAGCAGGACTTGGGTCGCAGGGCACAGATTTCAGCGGATGGACAGCTGAGGCCCATTCAGCCCCGTTCCCTGAAGAAAACAATAAGAGAGAGTTACTGAGGACAAGCTTCAGAAGTTTTTCTTAATGACCGGCTTTGCACCGGAGCCATGAAGGTAAATGCTGGGAGGATGCTGTTGTGTTACCCAGACTGGCAGCTGCGAGGCTCCTGTTGTGGAACTTGTTTTTTCAGCCCTCTGAGAGGCGGCCGTTCCCTGGCTTACGGCATCCTGTCCCTTCGCAGTGAGGGCTAGCAGGTATCGCATGCCTGCGACAGCAGGAGCTTATTTTGCATTTGGCAGCATAAAATGCAAGGAAGTAGGATGCCAGCAAGTTTTGTTGAGAGAGTGGCCCTTGAAGTTATCTTTTCTCCTTTCCCAGCTCTGCGCTGGGATTCCTGGGACAGTAATATGTAGGAACGCTAACGTGGAGGGCGCACTCTGGGATAATCTCAATTTGAACAGGCTGCAGCTCAAGAATGTCTGAATCTCTGATTCCGGATACATACATTGAGATGTTTAATGAGTAGAAGTACTTCCCAGCCTACCTGGAAAGTGGTTGTAGTTGATAGTTTCACTCTGGCCATAGATGATTTTTGTGCATTCTGCAGCCTTTTCTGTTATTTACGTAAGCAGTTCCAGTGCTCACTGGAATTGGAGCTATTTGTACTTGTATGTCTGCCCTGACACCCAGCAGTAGTTTCTTGAGAGATGTGACAGGCCAGGAAAGTGTTCGAGGAACTGTCATCACGTTCTTGCTCTGTTCCTTAATTGTGTGGGGACGTCTGCTTTGGCCACTGCTAGGCGGGTGCCACCGGGAGACGGCTTGGGGCTGCATGTGCTGTTGTGTGTTGGGCAGCGCTGATGGTGGCAGAAGATGAGCGTGGATTTGAAGAGTGATCTCAGGAGATGTGCTGCTGACAAGTGGTTTGTAGGAGGCTTTTTGTGAAGAGAGGAGTATTCTGGCTGTTGACTCAGTGATTTTGTCATTCAGGGTTTCTAAGCCGGTGATAGCAATTTTCTAAGGGAAAAAGGATTCAGGCAAAAGACCTGTAAATTGCCTTCCCTTCTAGAAAAGTGGATTTTATAGTCATTGTAATGCAGAAGTAAGAGACCTTAAGGGATTAGTTAAGCCAGCTCTACAGGTGAGATCATTACAGGAACCCCTTGAAGTGCTGATGCAGTGGAGGAGGGAATTGAGACTTTTTTATAATACGCTTTCAAACAGATGTGAACTCAGTCCTGTCTTTTTTTCCTTAATGAAGTGCTATCCAGCAAAAGACAGGAAGATGATTTTTGTTTTTTCCCCTCGGTCTCTTGAGAGCTTTGTACTCCAAAGTTCATTGAGTTCTTGGTGGAAGTCAGAGGAGCCCAGACCTACAATGTCTTGCTTTCCATGTACAAATGTTACGCAGGAAGGGCCAAAATCTTAAACAAATAATTCTGCAGTGTGCACATCTGCCTGATGCGCTGGGGCAGTTATCCTGGTTAAGAAAGTAGGCTGGGTCATACCACGACGAATCACTGATCCTTGCCCTGTATCTTTCCAAGTTTAGAAGCAGTTACCAGCAGGGAACTCAGCACCTTTGACTCTTCAAGGAGCTGGGAAGTTTGGCCACAACAAAAATACTTTCAGCTGTGAGGACTGGACCGAAGAATCACACACAGAATCACAGAACGTTGGGGCTGGAAGGGAGCTCTGGAGATCCCCCAGTGCCACCCGCTGCCAGAGCAGGGTCACCCAGGGCAGCCCCACAGGAACGCGTCCAGGCGGGTTGGAAAGTCTCCAGAGCAGGAGACTCCACACCCTCTCTGGGCAGAAGCCAAGAAGCTTCTCCTGATGTTTTTGTGGAACCTCCTGTGCTCCAGCTTGCACCCGCTGCCCCTTGTCCTGTCACTGGACATCCCTGAGCAGAGCCTGGCTCCGTCCTCCTGACACTCCCCCTTTCCATGTTTATACACAGGAGTGAGGTCACCCCTCAGGCTCCTCTTCTCCAGCTGCAGAGCCCCAGTCCTCCAGCCTTTCCTCCCCAGGAAGATGTTCCATCCCTCCATCATCCCTGGGGCTGCACAGGACTGTCGCAAGCATGTCCCTGTCTCTCTGGAGCTGAAGGGCCCAGAACTGGACACCGTATAAGTACCAGTGGTGTCATTTCTAGTTTTGTTGTTTGAGAGTTTAGCGTGTGTTAAATTGGCGTCTCTGAGGATGAATGAGCTGCTACTAAATATTCTTGAATCGCAATTCCGCTGTTGTTGAACGTGCCTCTGTTGATTGAGAGAAACAGAGTGATTAAACATGACAGGTAACAGAGTTAACGCCAATTCATAGCAAGGGAATACAAATATGAAGTACTTAGTATGCAGTAATTATATATCGAGCACCAATTAACCAATAATTAACCAAGTATCGTACAACCTTGCTGCAGTGCTGCTTCACTTATGCTTCAAATCTGTTCCTTCAACACCTGTGTGTTAGGTGGCTCAGGAAGTTCTGCGTGTATTTTTCCTGTTGTTGGAACAAATAATTAGTTACAAAAGTAATTACTCGTATCCTCTTTATTCTGGAATGGCAGACGAGGTGGTAGCTGTGTCTTGGGGACAAATTTCTGAAGTTTGTGACCAAAGTACATAACCTGCACCTGCTCCACTCTGACTGAACATCCACTGTTAGCCTGCTCTCCTGCTGCTGGCTACCATATATTTTCAACTTTTTATCCACAAATTTGGGGATTCCTTCTCTGTCCAAAGACAAAAGTAAGAATTGAAGCAAGAAAAGGCTCTAATACAGAATGACCGTAAGGAGATGCTGAGCAATTGGTGGGGGTGGGGTTGGATGTTTGTTTGCAGAATAGCGGGAAGGGGTTCGGGAGCTGCCGTGTGGCTCCCAGAGGTGATTTCAGTGTGTCCTTGCGGTGACTCGGGCTGCAAGTGTGGATGCGGTTGGCTATTGCCTGCCCTGGCCATTAAATGTCCTGCTTGGGGAGCAGCTTGACTCTGAAGAGATGAATGAGGATTTAATAGGTGGTGGAGCAATACCTGGGGGTTGGCAGAGAAGATCTGTGAAGCAGTTCTAGCTCAAACAAGCAGGAGGAATTGGCAGAGCGAGAGGCCAGGAGTTGAAATACAACATCTGACAGGGAGAGTGCTCTGTTTTTAACGACTTGCACTGCGGGAAAGTTGTGAACTTGCAAAGGCAGCCTTCTCTTGTTAGAACTGCAGAGCTGTTGAATCGAAGAACGCTCTTACCACTCCAGCAGCACTTCCTGCAAGATCATCTTGGCACGTGGCTTAGGGAAACTTGCCGAGGGTTTGGAAGCAGTGACGTGTGGATCCAGTCTCTTTAGGTGCTGCTGGGGCTGTGATCGGGTGTTGAGTTTGCCGCAGTCCTGCAGATCAGGTTCAGATCCTCTGGCAGCACCTGCATGAAGTTTCTTTTTTTTCAGAGGCTGGTTTTTGTCAACAAATCTTTTCTGTAGTGCTGCCTCCCAGACTCATTCTCATATTAGTGTTTCAGCGTTGTTTCTGGCTGCCCACTCTTGACAGATGCGGTAGCTGCAATACCAATATTCGAATGCTGGTTTTCAGGTCAATTACTATTTTTTATTTCTCTTAATATTTGTGCTACAAACAAAGTGGATAAGCTGTTAAGTTCAATATTGGGTAAGCAAAACCAAACTTACAGCCGTCTGTCTTGTGGCTGCCAGTTGATGCAGTCTGAGGGATTCTTCTGTAACCAGTACAGAGTAACTGGAGCTGTGCCCCTGCGGGAGGGGACGGTGTCTGACAGCTGGAGCAAGTGCTCACTGACTCCTGGGGGACCTCAGGAGCTTTTTGGCCAGCGTGGGTGAAAGGGCTCCCCTAAATGAGGGTGATCAGCTTCATGAACCCCCGGGCACAGCCTGCTGCTGAGCTGCCCCTGCGTTGGGCTGTCACACCTGCCCCTGTCTGTGGCCCCTGTGTTGGGGAGAGAATCGATCTGGGTGGGTGTTTTCATTTGGAGCTGTTCCCTGGATGTGAAGCGGACGTTATTGCTTGCATGCGTACAAGTGTGAGAAATAGGCTGTGCTCTGCTTTTACTTATTAGAGTTCATTTTCTGGCGCAGGATAGCTTCCAGGTGGGAATCGTGTCCGCACGGTGCTGTGCAGTGATGTTCTTCGGGTTGGAGTCTATGGCTTATCACCAAATCGTCTCATTGTGTTCATCTCCAGAGTTGTACATCTTGTGTTATCCCTTTGCTTCCCTGCAAAAGAGCAAATAGAATGTTTTGGGATGATTTGGGGAATCTATGATTCTGTGAAGTATAAAGAGGAGTCTGTTTGTCAGGGTTCCTGCAAGCGAGGGGACTGCCTGGTCAGGTACTTGAGAGGAGGAGACCTTGGTGGCAGGAAGGCGTTGGATTATCTCAGCAGGGAATGAAACAGCAGCCCATGATCTGAGTGTTTGTTGATGGTTTTCCCCAGTTTTGCTTCTGATCCATATTCTTTTTTTGTTCCAGGCTGTGACAGCACTTGTGAAGAACTATCCGAAGCACATGGTTTCCTCAATGCAGCAGATCCTGCCCATTGTCTGGAACACCCTTACAGAAAGCGCCGCCTTATATCCTTTGTAGTGAGTGGTCTTAACTAAAATAGAACAAGACAAACTGTCTCGTACGCAGTAATGACCCAAACTGTGGAGCAGTGCCAGACGGACAGAATATAGGCATCTACGGTGAGGCTGTACGCGGTATTTCTGTTACTCCAGTAGGCCCCGTTGAGTTTCTTTTAACTTAAAAGTCGTGTATGATGCCTGATGCGAGTGCCCGGGTTACACTGGCTGTGGAAGTGCAGCCGAACTCTGCGGTGTTTCTGGTGACCTGCAGTGAACGCTGCCTGCAGAAAGAGATACCCAGTCACCATGTAAAGACGTCAGGTAAACAGGATCTGCAGTTTCCCTCACTGCAGCAGCACTGACGGCTGAAGTTGCTGCTGAAGGTGAAGTTGATTTGCCTTTTGAATTTCTTAGCTAGGTTGTTACTTCTCTGCACAATTTGCCGTGTTAGAACTATTCTGGTGGTAGTTTTCCTGGTAAACTTACAAGTCAGATCTTTCCATATTGTTAATCCGAAAGTTGCTTTTTTTAGCCTTTTACCATGAGACAGTAATTGTAGAATACTGAGCCTTCTTGTCGCTTTTCCTGAGTTTTTGATATAAATACCAGAACGGGATGCTGTGTTGTGACAACAGCGTAAGAGTCGACTGTTTTGTTTCTCTGTAATTTAATTAAGAATGACTCTTCTAGAGATGAGAGGTCGAGACCTTTTTGTATCAAAGCTGCTTGCGTAGTCTTGTGCTTCAGAATCCTGCTGCATATGGGCTGCCGGGCTCTTGCAGAGTGAAAAGGGGCAGGGAGAGAGAACAGGAAAGTGCCTGAGCAAGTAGAGACTGTCTGGTTTCAAGGTCAGCTGTTTGTTTGGGCTTTTTATTCTTATTTTTTTTGGTAGTGGGTTTGCTTTTTCTTGGTGGTTTTTTTTTTTTAGATACCTTTTAAAATACAAGGAGCTGTTTGTTACATTTTTGATGTATTTCTCCCTTCCCTGTCCTGACTCCCACCGCAGTCCTGCTGGCAGCTAAGCTGAAAAAATAGTTCTCCGTTTGCAAAGGCGGAGAGTCTTTGCTCAGGCAGTTGTTGGACCTGCAATTTGCCATCATCCTTCCTTTCCACCCCAGGTTAATTTTCTGCCTCTTCCCAGGCAGGAGACTTGTGGAGAGGCTGGGCAGGGAGCAGAACCAACCCCAGGTAGCACGTGGGGTCGTGGGGTGGCTCCTCGCCCTCGGCAGCAGTGAAGAGATGAATTGACTCGCTGTCCCCTGGGAACGGTGAGCCTGAGCGGTTCCCTTCTTGCAAAGTTTTAATGTAAATGGAGTTTTGGGTTACCTTGGCGTGTTTAGTCGTCGTCAGTCAAATGATTTAGAGGATGCCTGGCAGCCATGTGCAAGTTGAGCAGTGCACGAAGCCAGGAGCGCCTGGGGCTTGTGTTCTCTCTGAAACACAGCACTGTGTGAAATTTTTTTTTAAGAAAGAAAACTTCCCTAGTTATCAGGACTTTTAAGATAGGAACAAATTAATTCCTACATAGGTACAGTCCTTTAGAGACACGCGTATTTACTTAACTCCATCCACTTATGTGAGGACAGAAGTAAATTACACAGAAGAGGTGGAGGACCCTGTGGATTCTGATGGTAAGAGCTTGTTAATCTGCATTTCTGCCTTCTCTTTTGGAGAGGAATGGACTTACCTAAACGTTACTGTCAAAAGAGTGGCTGAAACACTCGAGGAGATCTGTGCTTCAAAGTACATTGATGGTGTTAGAACAGTGTCCATCATTTCTGAGTTACGTGTTGTCCTGGTTTGAGAGCACCAGGACAGAAGTTCTCTGGGGCTGCCTGGCAGTCACAGTGGGCGAGGAGCGATCAGTGAAGCTGCATAATTTTAAGTTTTCCAGTGACTAAGGAGTGAGTTCTGCACCAATTTTGAGATAAAAGTAATGGGACAAAAGAGAAGCAAACAGGTTTTAGGTTGAGCATGATCAGTTTTAATGAGGGGTGTGCAGTGAGGTGGGAAGAGAGCAGAACGTTCTGGAGTAAGAATAAGCATTATCTCGTCAGACAAGCTAACAACTTGTCCTTGTATTTGCCAGCCTTTATACTTTTGTGTCTGTTCGCATATGCAGGCATGGGGTGTGTGTTCACTTTTGCCTTTCTGTATGTTGGCGTATTCAGTCGTGTTCTTTTTTTCCTCACTTACTTCTTTGTTCAGGTGAAGTATTGGGCTTTGAAAATCTAGTGTTCAGCATATTTGAATTTGTTCATGCCTTGTTGGAAAACAACAAATTTAAGAGCACAGTGAAGAAGGCTTTGCCAGAGCTGATCTATTACATCCTCCTTTACATGCAGATCACAGAGGAGCAGGTGAGCATGTTTGTCCTGTGCAGGAAGCGAATGAAGTAAGAGATGTAGAACAGCCGGTGGCCTGAGGAGAGTTTCAGTGCGTGGGAGCTGCTGTAAGCCAAGAGGCTGCTCTGTCGCTTTGCTGTGCCGGGAGTTAGGGCAATGGCATCCGAGTGTTCTGGTGTCATGTGGAGAGCGGGTCGTGGCATCATAGAATAGTTTGGGGTGGAAGGGACCTTCAGAGATCATCTAGTCCAGCCCCATTGCCACAGACAGAGACACGTCTCACTTACTGCTCAAGTTGCTCCAAGTCCCATCCCATGTGGCCTTGAGCACTTCCAGGGAGGGCACCTCCACAGCCTCTCTGGGCAGCCTGTGCCAGTGGCTCAGTGAAGAGTTTCTTTCTAATACCTAATCTAAACCTGCCCTCTTTCAATTTACAACTCTCTCAAGCTTTCTTCCTTCATTGCATCGTGAAGTATTCATGCTGTGAAAACGAGTATTAACACACTGAAAGGGGTAGCCAGGCTTCTGTGATAGTGAAAAGATTGTGCTAGCAGTGTGAAATAATTTGTACTGAAGTTCTACGTGGCTCCTGGCCTCCCAGGCCAGATGGCTATCCTCTTTTTGTGTAGGTGGGCGTGCGTCAAAACAGGCACTCCTTAAAGATTCATCTGCTTCTCCCGTTCCTCATCTGTGAACAAACCCGTGTAGCATTGATCTCAGGTCAGTCATGAGTTCTGTCAAATTCTAACCTCAAGTGAAGAGCAGAAGAGCAAGATGAGCTTAGAACAGAGCGAGTCTCCCCTTTTCAAAGGTTTCTCCCACAAAATATGAGGAAAATCAGTTGAAGGTGACGACCTCTTGTGGCAGAGAAAAAATTCTGAAAGCAGTTTGTCAAAATTGAGTTACTGGGAACAGCAAAGCTCCCTTCTACCCTTGGTGTTTGGAATTTGTCATCTACCCTGTCCTTTTGCCTCCTTTTTGCTTTAGATAAAAGTTTGGACTGCAAATCCACAGCAGTTTGTGGAGGATGAAGATGATGATACGTTTTCCTATACCGTGAGGATTGCTGCACAGGATCTGTTGCTGGTATGAAATGTGTTCCACGTGTAGATGCAACCAAAGTGATAACAGCAAATAACAATAAACCTGGCATCATGGAGGGCACCTGGAGGAACGGCCAACGTTTAAAAGTCCACACAAATAAGTGTTGTCATTTCCCTCTGCGCAGGCTGTGGCTGCCGATTTCCAGAACGAGAGCGCCACCGCTTTGGCTGCAGCAGCTACAAGACATTTACAAGAAGCGGAGCAGGCCAAGAACAGCGGCGCTGAGCACTGGTAAGGACACTGATAAGAATGGCAAGCTCTCGTACAGCGTTGGCTGCAGCCCAGTTTATTCCAGTTATTTTTTTCATGACGTTGCTGATAGACAGGGATAAAATTTGAGAATTCCAGTTAGAAGAAAAAGGGAGTATGGCTCCCTCTGTGTGACGAAATCTCCATGTGCAATACTTTCAGCAGTTCCTAGCACAGGCTCCCTCCCTCCCTGATGACTAATCCTTAAAACATAGTGTTGGAAACAGTAAATATACACAGTCTGAAGAGAAAGTGGCAATACTTTCACTTTGCGTTCAGTTAATTGAGCTCAGAATTTCAGGCTCAACTTTCCTCTGCATCAGTTAAAAACCTAGATATACAGAAATGTGGGATAGATGATGGGACTGTGAG